TGTGTGTGTGTGTGTGTGTGTGTGTGTGTGTGTGTGTGTGTGTGTGTGTGTACGTGCGTATTTGAGAAGTCTCCCGATTTTCACAAGAGCCACGCACAGAATAGAGACCAGGGAAACTGTCCAGAGCTCCCTGAGTACTTCCGGTCTTTAACAATGCGAAGTGGTCAGTACTAACCAAACGTCTTTGTTTTTCTAGGTCAAGTCGATTGTGCTTCAGGGTGAACAACCCAAAACAGTATCTCGATTTCGCTGTTAAAATTGTTTAAGTGGTAGGATGGGGCGTGTTCCTTGTTGATATCAAGGTAAATGATGATGATGATGATGATGATGATAATAATAACAATAAACGTTGGCGCTTGAAACTCCATTACTTTCAGCTCAAAAGCTTCAAAAGCACCCTTGGAACAGATGTCCACTGGTCAAATGCTTGGTAAGATCGGATCGGATCGGATCGGTCGAGTCGCGAAACGGCACTGGTGAGTGCACGCTATATCAGATTGACAGATAAGTATATTGACTTATAATTTGACCCCGGAAGTCCATCGGGGCATTCCCTTTACGGAAAAAATTGTGGAGTGCTACATCTACCCCATGTTCCTTATAGTGTTGAAACCGAGACTTTAACAAAGAAAGAAGAAAAGAAAATATCTGCGAATATCTGCCTTTGAGATGTGCTGCTACCGCACAATGGCCAGAGTTAGCTGGTAATGGTAAGCAGAAAAAAATAATGAGGTGTGTCAGATTCTCCATACAAGACAAATCCAACACAATACGTTGGTTATTTTCAACGCCACCAGACCAATATGAAGGAAATGCCCGAAGGCAAGATGTGGGGGCAAAAGGGGCTAACGGTTGACAAAGGTCAGTGTGGACCCATGACATCAAGGTTTAAGTATGACAGAGTGTATAGCGACAGCTTGCAACCGTAAGCAATGACGGGTCATTGCACATCAACCTCTAAGCCAGAAAGGACACCTCCAGGTTTCCAAGTATAGTATAGCATTCAACTCGCAAAGAAAAACCTCACATTATACCTCCTACAGGGAGATGAGAAGCCGTTCTGTGTCGGATGCGACACAGATTTTACCATTAGACACATTTTAACAGAATGTCTAGACTTTGGAGAGATCCGAAGGAAATATTATAAATGCAAGAAATTGCAGGATATTTTTTCCGTCG